GGTCTCCCCGATGAGGGGTTGGAAGGAATTAAGAGGGGCGGGGGGGGGGGATAAAGAAATGTGGGTTTTTTTATCTTAAGGTGTGGAGTACCTTCGCAAATGGTAACTATAAATCTTAATGCAGTGATCCCAACAGTCCAAGACCAACAACTGACCTTTGGGGGTGACGGCTATGCCAACGGGGCAGGTGAGCCCCTCTCGGATTAGGATATTATAGCCCCCCCCTTTGGGGAAATGCAAGATTTCCTTCCGGCTGCTATCAGCCACAATGAGATCCCCCCGGGAGTCCACGCACATGCCGGCGATGCAGCGGAAATCTTCGTTCTCTGAGAAGAAGTGACTGATCTGTCGGCCAAGCTGCCCATCGGGACCCACGGAGCCGATGGAAAATCCGCCTTCCAGGTGATGTTCGTGCTGACGGTTTTCCAGGTTCAGCCCCAGTCCCTGGGTGAAGTAGATGGTCCCTTCGGCATCGCACGTGACAAACTTAGGGCGCACAGCACTGCAAAGGCAGCTATACTTCACCACCCCGATGCCCCGGTCCACTGTGAAGCACCACAGCTTTCCTCCTTCCACGTCTGTCACAACAAACTGCCCCGAGGGAAGGGCCGTGATGCCCCACGGCTTGCTCAGTTGGCTCCGGTGACATGCCACGCAGTGCCCATCGATCGTGTACACTTTCATAGAGTTGTCGTAGCTGTCGGTCACGCCAATCAGCCCGTGGCAGTTCATGGTGACCGACAAGGGAGTCAAGTTGGGGAGATCCGCTCCGAGGAAGCTGAGCACAAAGCTATCAATGCCGCTGGGGCTGCGGCGGATTTCCTTCAAGAAGCCCTTGCGAGTGAAGACTTGGATCCGGAAGTTGCCCCGGTCTGCCACGAGCACCTCCCCCTGGGGCGTGACATGCAGGCTTACAGGCAGGTTGAATGTACCTGGCGTGCTGCCCTTTGAGCCCATCTTCTTGAGGAAGTGGCATTGCTGGATGCTGGCAGCCGCTTCTGACATCCTTGGCTTTGCAGGGGAAGAGCAGTGGGACAGAGGACTGGCTTCTTCTACAGCCAGATCTGCCTCTCTGAAGGACCCTGATGCCTCTGCCGCCGTCTCCATCAGTGACTCCTCCACATTGATACTCCGAGGTTTTTTGACCACTTGCCCTATCTGGAGTGGTCCAATATGACCAACCTTGAGGAGCTCCACCTCTTGTAGAGTCAGCTCTTTGGGAAGGCTGTTCATCAGCTCTGGCTCTTCCTCGTCTCCCTCCTCCTCCAGAAGGGCAATGTCCCCCTGTTTTATTTTGGCAAGGAAGTAATCGCAGCGTGATACAATCTGAACCTCGGCAATGTTCAGTAGGTAAGCCTGTTCCTCCATGATCTGGCTGTTCACTTTCTCCACCTCTGAGAGGGAGCTGGTGAAGAACTTACGGGACCTGGCCAATTCTTCTTGGACCTTGCGCTCTTCTTTGCTGTACTCTTGGAGGACTGCTTTGTACCGGGCTTGGAGGTCCTTTGAAACCCCTTCCAGAGACACCTTCCTCTTCTGCAGGTCCCCCATGAGCTCCCGGAGGCGACCCAGCCTAGCACCAAAGTCCCTCCTTTTCTCATCAGCCGCTTCTTTGATTGCTACCACGTTGTGATGTCGCTGCAGATGCTCAGACTCTTTGCAGGGCTCACACAAAACCAAGCTGCAGCTCTTACAAAAGTTCTTCGGGAGCCGCCGTCCACAAGCTTTGCACATGAGAACGCCGACGGCCTCGCTGAGCCCTGCCGTGTCGATGATCTTCAGCACCGTCAGATTGTCGGTCAGCTGAGCCAGGTTTGTGATCCTGGTGACTTTGCTGCAGAAGGGGCAGCGGATCCCATTGATGCTGCTGGCGAGGAGCTTCTCCGAGCACTGTTTGCAGATAGTATGCCCACAATGTAGCAGCTTGGGCCGCAGATGCTCTTCGGTGAAGCACTCCATGCAAATGGGGCACTCCAAGACTTCGCGGAGCGCATCTGAGTTGAGGTGAGGGGCAGCAGCCATGGCAGTGGAGCCGAGATGAGATGGGTTGCATCGATCCCCAGATCTTCCTGACCCTGTTTGAAAAAAAAAAAGAGAGAGAAGCATGTAGGTTTTATTTATTAAATTTATACAGCCGCCCATCTCACTTGCACGTGACTTTGGGCGGCGTACCTAGCTCAAACCCAAGTAAGATCATAATCTTCTACCATTAAAAACAGTTCAAAATGTAAAACCGCATTTAAAATACAATAATGCAAAGACAGTGGAGAGTGCATTCAAACGATATAACCATGCAGTGGGCTCCGTACTTCCTTGGGATCCCCAAGCCGGATGGCACATCCAAGATGGGTGTGGAAGGCTGGAATGGTTGGGGCCAATCTCGCCTATGGGGGAACGATGCTCACCCCTCCTTTCTGGCAATGACTGGTGAACTGAACAGATGAATCCCATTCCTGCTGCATACACCACCACTAGGAAAAGCATCTGAAGGGGATCCATTACACCAGCTGAAGCAGTGAACTTATGGATTTAAATGAGGAAAGAAAAGTCTGGTGATTTTTCTTTTTTGAACACCCCTCCAGGCCAAGCAAAACCGCCTAGCTTCATCTTCCAATCCTTTTATTTGAAGCATCACCCTACAATCCAGACAGATATTTTAGCACCTGATGAAAACTCTGAAGGGCACCCAAGGAGGAGGAGGGGAAAAAAAAAAGGATGCCCAGATGTCCTGCATGCAGAAACTTGGGAGAAATTTCCAGTTGGAGGTGGTGATGTTTTAAAACTTGCACAGGTACTTCCAGGCAGAAGAGCTCCTGCAACTTGCTCAAAAAATGGCAAAGTGACAGGGCTGGTGGCTTCCTCTGGAACCCGAGAGTAGAAGTTTAGAAGTTTGCTTTTCATCCCGTGCATAGTTATTGGACATTTTCGCCTGTCCTGTGCTATTTGTGAAGGGTGTTTTGCTGCATGTCCTTTGAGCAAAAAATGTATTTTGCTAGGGAGTAGGAAACGCTCAGCAGTGGGCTTAAAATCGCCTTAATTGCCATACTCTTTGTACTTCAGAGAAGGATCAAAGAAGAAAGAATCAGACAGCATTTCAGTGCAAGAATCAGGAGTACGTTTCTTCTGAAAACCGCAATAGGAACTCCCACCCTCTTTTGTTGGTGAGTTTATTCAGGCAGTCTCTTTCAACATTTTGCCTCTCTTCTCTGCAAGCCTTCTGCAGCCCAGACTGAGATGCTGTTTACAGATAAGCTACTAACAAACTCCTCTCCCATCTCTCGGTCGCTTGTATCTAGAGTTCCTCCCATTTCTTTCTCAGCCTTCTGACAGTCTCTCACAACAAGCAATCGTGAACAGATGCTTCCAGGCTCATCAGAGTTGTCCTTATAACCCGACAAACGCAAATAGTTTTAATAACTGGCTAGGTCTGTAGCTGAGGAAAACCAAGTTTGTTAGTATTAGGAATGGTAGCAGTACAGGGAGACCTCGTCTAGCGACCGCAATTGGTTGCTATGGGAAACCGCAACCGTGCTCACGATCTTGCTTCAGCTTTCCTTGGCTTTACAGACCTGCGAAGGTCGTAAAGGCAAGGATTGGTCGCAACTGCAAACGGTCCCTAAATGAGGCAGTCACTAAATGAGGACTACCTGTAGTATTTGCTTAATTAAGATGGTAAATATTGGGTGTATGAGGATGATGTAAATGGAAATCATTTAGAGTTTCAGACAGAATCCTTTTTGCTGCCTTGGGATAGGTGATCTGCACTAGTACTGAAGCTCACTTTTCTGAAAGTGAAGAGAGTGTGTGTGAGAGAGAGAGAAATAAATAAAGCCATCCATTTAATACTCTTTGGAAGGTGCAAGGAGGACAGAATGCCAAAAAGCATTGGGGAACATTTATTAGGAAAAGTAGTAGTAGTAGTAGTAGTAATAATAATAATAATAATAATAATAATAATAATAATAATAATAATAATATCCATCATCATCATCATCATCATCCATTCTCCAAATGACATGGACATTCATCCCTGGGGGAATGAAAAATTAAGGAAATCCAGAGATCAGCCTTTAATTATTTGTACTTTCCTTTGAGCACAATCATGAGCTTCAATGGTGGTTACAGTGTTTTTAGTTGGGGGTCTAATTTAGACCAATATATATGTGTGTTTATGTGTGTGCATATTCTGTTGTGGGATGAATAGAATAGAATAGAATAGAATAGAATAGAATAGAATAGAATAGAATAGAATAGAATAGAATAGA